GAATTTGGTGTGTGTGTGTGTAAGTGTGTAAAGAAAGTAACTCCTTTAAAAACTAATTCCCTTAAGATGGAAGCCTGCTCCATTCCTTCATCCAAGTCAGGTTATTAAAAACAAAAACAGTTCATCAAAACTAAATTGAAAGGATGTATACCCTGTGCTTTTAATCTACTATGAAATAATTCTTCTTAACTGTCCCAAATTCGTTATTTTTAGTTCAGTGACTATAGCCATCAGTTTGCCGTCAGTTTGGTTTGGCCTGTTCTATGGACTATGGGGAAGCACCCTGGCTAAGCTGCCATTACACTAGCTAGACATTTGGAACATGATAGAACAAGCATAGATCTTCCATTTATTAGTTAGAACTAGGAGCTTCCAACTATGTCAGAACTTCAAAATCTATTAATATACTGTGGCAGAGTGGAACTGCCATCTGATGACACGACAGGCTTTATAACACAAAAGATTATTCAAACTTTCTCTTGAATTTTTCATGCAGTCTTTTAAAGCCTGCCATAAGACATGACCCATTTGATAGGCCTTTCTTTCAAATAATACGCTTATATCATCTTTAAAGCTATACATGCACAATATAAAAGTTATCATTGCTGGGCTACTTCTTCACTGTGACGACAATTCCAGATCTAGTGAAACCAATGATCACTAAGTTCCACACAGAAGAGTTTATTAATAATTTTGGATATCCATAATTTAATACTGACTAACAACCTATGGACTCAGTTTTTTCAGTCCACTATTAAATTAGGTTTTTCTCTATTATCAGTCGCCCATATACTCATAACTTAAAACTACAAAATATACATCACTTCCAAAATTCTTTACATGTTTCCCTTTAAAACAAAGCCTTTGCATGTCTCTAGAATGAAGCCTAAGAATATATAAATGATGCAATGATTATATGTACCTTGTTCATATGCTACACTTGTCAATACTGTGAGTCTTTCTTTTTAAAAGCAACAATGCCACATATGGTCTATTTAGCATTTTAGTAAAGGCCCACCAATACCTGGATCACTGCATGTGATCCCTGCTAAACAAAAGTATCTGCCAGGTATAATGGAGTGTTATGGAATTGACATTTGCAAAAAGAATCAGATTTCGTTTCTAGTATAAATGCTGTCTTAGCCAAATCACTAACTAATCTTAACCTCTGGTTTTATCACATATAACAGAACCAGATGGTCACTAGATGTTCATGATTATGCTGTAATAATTTCATTTATTCATTCAACTAATATTTATAGAAAACCTTCTAGGTGCTATGCATTGGAGTTGCAAGTATGAATAAGGCACCTTATATTTTGCTGGGGGATACACAGTTTTTTGTTACTGGTAAACACCATTAGGATAAAGAAGAGTGACAAATATCTAGGTAGCTCAGGGAAGCTTCTTTAAGAAAGAAATATCTGAGGTGGGACTTGAATGGCGAGGAGCCAGCCCTAAAGTTCTGGGGGGAAGAGCATTCATTCTAGGCAGAGAAACAACTGCAAAGAATTCACCTTAGCACCTTTCCCAATCTCTTACACTTACTTTCTTCAAAATCCAGTTTTAAACTCTTTTCCACTCAATGGATCCTTGTGTGATTAAACCTACTTTCAAATTATAGCTTAAGTGTTCAATTTACATTATATTCATAGTTTTAAATTTGTGGTCCTAAAAATGTAATTATTAACTGTTCTGTATTTATTCTAGTTTCACAAGTCAAAATTTTGAAGGAGAGAATCCTGATTCTTCTACTCATTTCCTTCAGTACCTTAGCAGTATTGTGCAGGGAGGAGAATGTTCACTGCATGCGTGCTCAGGACCAATTACTCTAAAGGAAATCAGTATTTGTATTCTCATTCTCAAAATAAGATTTGGTTACAGAATATTTTAGAACAAACTAAAGGAACACCCAGTGAAGATTAACTGGCTCAGGAGTGAGATATCTCAAATTCAATTCCCAACTCTACCATTTACTTAGGCATAAGGCTTCCGACAAATCAAATTCTTATGATCACCTGTCAGTATCTGTAAAATGGAGATATTACTTGCCTTGTCTAATGAGGATTAGTTGGTCCAACTACATTCCAGGGGAGATCATGATCACTGTCTTTAAAGCTTACTGTGGAAACAGAGCATAAATACTGGAAACAACAAATGTGCTTTCATTTTAGAATAAAAAGACCTTGAATGATTTTGTTCAATCCCTCATTTCACATGAGAAATCAGAGGCCCAGCAAAATGAGGTGATTTGTACAAAATTACTGAAATACATTATGGCAGAATCAGTATGACATCTGAATTTTTTAAATACCCATCTCAGTATATTTCTCACCATACCATACTGCCTTTACCACTTCTTGCAAGCTACTTTCCAAAGTATATACCTCACAATTTATTGTAACATTCACTACACTTAGATCCAGACGGTAAAAACTAAATGACTTTTTAAAAAAAAGTAGATTTCTAAGGCTAAAACTTTACACAATTTGATATCAGAACTGAATTTAGGAAGTGACATGCTGATACTACTGGGTTACAATATCAGAAATGCAAGGATTAAAATCAGCTAATGCCTTAAACATGTGCATCTACTAAATGATTGCATATTTGACTTGTTGGAATATTTTTCTTAGTTTCTAATTTAATCGATATAATGATATAATGCTGATTCAATTACATTGTTATGTGAGACAAATAAAATATAATTTTCTTTTATTTATAGGCAATACACATGTAGCATATAAAATATTGAAAGCAATGTAAAATATTTTTGTTTCTGGTCATCTTTCTGTGTTTTCTTATTCATGATTTTAACCTAGAAGCAGAATCTATGTTGAGAAATAGTTATTGAGTGCCCATGGTGCACCCTGGATCATATGACACTGTTTTAATGTGTGTAAACGAAGACAATATGTTAGAAATTATGTAATGGCTTCAACATTAGAAAGGTTGAAACTCAATCTTTAAAGTGCAAATACACTGGGCATTAAAGAAAAAAACCTAAATGACTGCCTAATACTATAAATTTTCATTTAAAAATAAAAATCTACTTCTCAGGAATGTCTTAAATATACCAAAGAAAGGTTGAAACAATATCTAAACTCAAAGAAAGGTCTTTGGAAACAAAAACCTAATCAGAAGTTAAATGGCTTTGGGGGAAGAACAGCAAAATGTGTCTCCTTAGCAACTTTTCATTCCTCCAAGAAGCAAGAATGTAAAATGCTTTAGAAAGTAGTGTGCAAAAACTAAAGTTGTAAGGATCAAATGATGTAAGTCTGTGAAAGCATTTGGTAAGACCATGAAGTACAAGTTATTATTATATAACAATTTGTAGTCTACAAGTATGACAGTTCACCAGAGTAGACGTAAATGCTTATTTAAAAACTGCAATTCTTTTATACTGACTCACTGAATTTTTATTCTTAAAAAAGAATGTTAGCCATGAAAGAATTCCACTTCTGAAAAAGGAATTTATCATAGTCTCAATAGAAAAAAAACCAAAACACATACACACAAAAAAATTCCCCTCCTTTTCAAAATACAGGTCCTTCTTTTAGCCATGTGACCTTAAAGCAGGTCACTTCCTCTTTGGAACTCACTTTCCTAGTAATATGTGTCAGACACTGTGTTTGGTGTTTTACATATTGCCTAATAGGATCTGTTATACAGATAAAATGAAATAGAAATTACCCCTATTTTATAGTTATAAAACTAAAGCTCAAAGGGGTTAGGAAACCTGCTCCAGATCACAAAGCTATTAAGTGACATGGCTGATATACTGGACCTTCCTCTAACTCCAAAGGCCCCACTCTTCCCACTTATATTACCTTGTAAAATAAGGTTGTTCTTAGTGATCTCTGAGGTTACTTTATGAAATAAAAAATATAATTAAGAAATACATTATTCTTCCAAAACATGCATAGAAAAAATTTATTTGTTAAATGATAATTATCTCACTACTTTTAGCTTGCCACTACTTAAAAATAATTTTGGATTTTAAAAGTAGTGATACCTGAGAATTTATAATATAGGACATACAGGGTTCTTCATGGTCTATGTAATGCAAAGTACTTAATAATTTTTCAAATGATGCATAAATGATAACTGATATGTACTACTTTCAACCAAAGTTTAACACTTTACAAAGTGAATATTTAAAAATATTACAGTTCTTACTTTTCTACATGTTATGGTCCTTAGAACCAATCTCCTCCTCTGTGAATTTCAAAAGAAGCAATGCACAAAGACACATTATTACCTTGCTCTAAAATAACTTAAATTACTTCAGAATAGAGAATGGATTCGGGTTTTCTAACAGTGATTTCTGGTCTGATGTTATATTCCAGTTTTCACGGAAATCATTAGTTATCTCTTCAGAATACCCTATCTGAAAGAGCTTTTCATCGTAGCCAGCCTACATTACTAATGCTGAAATTCATCTAAATTGGTCCAACTGAAGGCAGAACATTTAACATGATGACTACTGCTCTATGGAGTCGGCGAAACAAACCACTCCATACACGGGGAAACACTTTGTGATAGGATGCATTAATTTACCAAGCATTTACCGAGCACCCATGTAGAACATAATATACATAATAGTACAATCCTTGGCCCTTAAGAATGTCGCGTCTTTGTAAAAATGAACTGAAACTCCAAAACGGCCAGTCTTTGATGAATTTACTACTAACAGATAAGAGAACTGGTGGGTCACACTGTCACACCAGTTCATCTTCCTGTTTGACATGACCCAAACCCAGGCATCTGAGTATCCGATCCAACTCATGAATGCCTAAGCGATGCAAAAAGAGAGCTCCCTCGGAGCAGTTCAACGCGGAGAGTTCCCTCTACACCCGGTCTCTACCGGGCGATGGGGCCTCCCGGGAGTACCCCGCCGGGCCCCGCGAGCCTGAGGAACCGAGAGGCGCCTTAAAAGTCGGGACCAGGCAGAGGCGGGACGGGCAAAGATCGGCACCTCCGTGCTGGGCCCCGCTTACCTCTTCCACTTCGATCTCCTTATAGTCGATTTCTTCAAAGTTGAGGACTTGGGTGGGGGCTTCGATCATATCACTGGCCGAAGACGAGGAGGAGGAGGAAGCGGCGGAGGCTGTAGACATGATCTTTCGCGGAGCCCGGGGGGCCCAGGGAGGCTGCCGCCCGGACACTCCGGGGGAGACCCGCGCCCACCCGCCTCCGGACCGACCTTCAGCCTGGAGCCACGGCTATCCGTGGAGGGGACAGGGCAGCGGCCACAGCCGAGTCCCCGCTCTGGCTCCTCTGCGTTTTCCGCTGCCGGGCCCCGCCCACTAAACTTCCGGTTCCGGCCTGCAATCGGAAACAGGAGGAGGGCCGTGAGCTCAAGGGGAGGGAGGGGAAAATTTTGTAACTGAGACAGAGGAAGGAAGGACAGTTTGGGGGGTGGGGTGGAATGGGGAAGGGTAAGAGGCTAACTTGGGTCTGTAGTACAAATTTCGCGAGATCTTTGTTAAGTGCCTCAGCAACGGGTGATACCGCGAGAGCTGACGCTCTGACGTCCTTAAAGTGCGCGAACGGAAGTGGCGCAGAACTCGACGGAATGTGCGTGCGGTTGGTCCTTTAGGAACCAGCGGGAAAGATGAAAGTATTGGTTCCAACTCTGCTTGGTGAAGTTTGTTATGGACCCGCTCCCGTTTTTCTCAGAGACCCGAAGGCGGCTGGGATAGTGTTGGATTGAGTTTTTGTCACGAAGCTTACTTTTTAGTTTCGTCCCTAAACTAAGCTGAACTATTTCTTTAAGGAGACTTGAAAAATGTCTTTCCCTCACTGTGGTCTATGGAAGGAAGCAGTGTTACTGTTAACTTGGAGCCAGTCCATCACTCTATAAGTAGAGATTCTAAAGAAAATAATACAAAGGGAGCCAGCGCACGTAACCTGAATAACAATATGTAGGTTGAGTGCTCAGGAACAGAAGTTAATATCAGGTAAGGTAGATATTTATAATTTGACATAACGTGTGTTGATCTGAAGTTACGGATTGCATTAATAGTACACATAGTGTGGAGCACCGTGCTAGCTGCTTCACACTGATGATTTAATCATTAACAATAGCCCTGAAAATTAAATACTTTTTTTGTGCCATCTTCAGGACATGAGAAAATGGGCTCAAAGGTTAAAATGCTAAACAAACAAAAAGCTTCCATACTGAAGTGTACCTTTAAGTAAGGTTTCATTGATCCAAAATGCTAGCCAAAAAGACCAGTCTTGGGACGTGGAGTCTAAATCACAAGAAGCATGGCCAGGTAGAAAAGACAGCATGTCTATCATGCAGAGTTTTGCAAGCATTTTTATACATCAAGTAGGGGAAAGAAAGCGGTAGTCTTTAAGAATTTAGATTAGTTGCCCTGGCCGGCGTTGTCCCGTGCACCAAAAAGGTTGCGGGTTCGGTTGCCGGTTCAGTCCCCGGTCAGGGCACAAGCTGGGGTTGTGCACGTCATCCCCGGTAGGGAGCGTGCAAAAGGCAGCAGATCGATGTTTCACTCTCACATCGGTGTTTCTCTCTCCTCCCTCTCTCTCTAAAAAGCAATAAAAGAAAAATTTTTTCTTGAACTTACATTAGGTGGGAGAGGGTGGCCAGCTCTGGGATAGGCGCTGGGTCCACTTAAAGAAATGCCTGCTCCTGTAGATTGGCTGTGGGCAGCATTCTGTGAAGCCCAGGTGTAAACAGCAAGCAGAGGCTCCTGGAGTTACATGGTACCTGGCTAAAATAATCTGTGGAAATAGCCACCTAGAAATTAATCCAAAATTCCAACAGGCAATAGAAGAAATGTGACCAGTTTTTTGTTACCTGGACAGCGGCCATTAACAGTTCTGTCTCTCACTCTCCAGCCACTGTAATTTAGGACATCTCAGAATTTTCTCCTTGTCGAAACAATTACGATCCTCACAAGTTAACAGAACCTAGGTCAGTGTATCTCCAAGGTGACAGTATTGCCTGTGTTGTGCTATAACACAATTTTTAATTTTAAACTAGCTGTTATACTTTAGTTAGTTTGACTTGAAGCCTAACTGGGAAAATTGGAGTTAAATATGAAGGTTTAAGGACCTAGGATGAAACCCTGCGAATGTTTAAGTCTGCCTCAGTAAGAGACTGAAAAGAAACAGAAAGAGGGAAAGTGAGGAGAATAGTGATCCAAATATCACTGGAGGAGAACTTTACAATTAAGGAGAAGGCAGCCAAATAAATGCTGTAGAGAATTAAATTGAACACATTTGGGGTTGCAAATAAATTATTGGATTTGGCAATCAAGAAGTTAGGATTAGGAACTGCGCCCTGCCTGGGTAGCTCAGTTGGTTGGAACATCTTCCAGTATGCCAAAAAGGTTGTGGGCTTGATTCCCGGTCAGGGCACATACCTAGGTTGCGGGTTCGATCCCACATACAGGAGGCAACTGATGGATGTTTCTCTCACATCTATGTTTCTCTGTCTCTCTCCCTTCCTCTCTCTCTGAAAATTAATAAAAATAATATTCTTTGGTGAGGATTTTAAAAGAAGTTAGGAATTCCTGGAAAATATTCTGTTATTTTTAATTCATAGTTCTAGAAACACCTGGGAGTTTGGTGAATGAATAAAAGAATGAAAGAATAATTTCTCATGGTACACTCTTTGGATGATTTTACCCAAGGTCTTGACTACCTATACCATCTTTATGGTGATGGCTCCCAATCTCCCAGTGCTCATTTCTTCGCCTGAATTCTGAACCTATTGGACATCCCTATTTAGATGTAAAACCTAAATCTAAAGACTCCAAAAGCAAATTTTAAAGTTTTGCCCACTGCAAATTTATTCCATGTGCATTTTCTATCTCCATAAAGCATCCCATCATCTACTCAATTGTCCAAGTGAGAAACTGACATTATTTTTACATGTAAAATGGTGCTTAACCAGGTTGAAGCAGACTGAGTCAAAGGGGTTACCGTTTTTACTTGTTCCTCTATTCGAATTCCGAAGCTAGAATGATCACCTTTTAACCTGGCGCTCTAACTCCGTAAGTCAGATCTGATTTTACACCTTGATTTTAATACAGTGGATGCTACCAAGTACGAACTCAAGAAATATGGTTATATGTTCTGGATGAATGAACAGCTTTTGCCATTCCTCCCTTTTCTTAGAGTGCAAGAGCTGTTTTCTGTACCTTCAGTTTGGGACTAGAATTCTGCTGACAAGGGACTAATTGCTAGAGCCATGATGCTCTTCTGCTTGAATCCCCGCTACCTCCATCATTTTGTTATGAAGAATATCAAACACAGAAAATTTTACAGTGAAGACCTATGTATTTACTACCAAGATTCTACCATGAACCTTTTGGCGTGCTTGCTTTATCAGTCCATCCACCCGTCCATGCATCTATCTTTTTCTGTTGGATACATTTTAAAGTGAATTTCTTACATGATTTTGAACATCTTCTACCCCAACACTTCTGACTCTGTTTTATCCACTGATTTTGACTTCTGATAGTCATACTAGTCTAAAATCAATTCACATCTGTTTGCTTGGAGACCACCTTTTCTTGGGGTGGAAGGGGGAGGAAGCGGAAGCCTGCCTGACAGCTTTTCACTAGCTTCTGGTAATAAAGCCCCAGCAATGTTCATGTCTCTGGATCCAGTCATCCACAAGGTCCAATCTACCTTTCCCATTCTGTGACTTGATGGTGTGAACTAGTAAATTTCCATTTCTCATTTAAGGTGATTCAAGTTGTATTTTTGTCACTTGCAGTCAGAATCCTAAGTACAATTGACCCTTGAACAACACAGGTTTGAAGTGCATGTGTCCTCTTATATGTAGGTTTTTGTTTTTTGTTTTTAAATAAATACCTGCGTTGTTTCTGATCTGTGGTTGGGAGTCTGCAGATGTGGAGGACCAACTGTATGCATAGGCCTACGCCATTTTATATAGGGTGCTTGAGCATCCACAGATATTGGTATTTGTGAGGGACCCTGGAATGAATCCCCCTTGGATACCAAGGGTGGTTAAGTTTTGGGGGAGTCCAGAGTTATACATGGATTTTCAGCTGCATGGGGGGGTCAATGTCCTTAACCCCTGTGTTGTTCAAGGGTCAATACAGAGAAATGAGGGAGGGGAGCTGAACCCACCTTTGTTTACTTCAATTTTGACTGCATTCCCTTTAACTTTCATGAGTTAAGGATGGAGGCTTGGACTTCATAATTTCACGTCAACTTCAGTCACCAGTCATGTCCCCACAAATTTCCAAAGATACATATCAAGCTATTTAAGTAGTCTCCTCAAAGTCCCTGCCAATTTGAGCACTCTCTCTACCCGCTCTAACGTCAGTGTCCTAATAACTCCCCTCTAACCTGGGACTCTGTCTTCAATTTTAACCCCTTTCCACTATCCAGGGGTGAGGGCCCAAAGAGTTTTGAGATCCATTCCCACTACCTCTTTGCATGTTCTAAATGGGATTCTCATCTCATGTGGCTCATTTTGGAATTGAGGATACCTGGCATCTACTTTCCTAGAGGCTTAGCAGAAACAGACTAAAATACTTCCACTTCAGTGTTCTGTTGCATTGATGTACATAATAATACATCAGATACAGAGCTCCATATTTTATCACTTAATATGACTTTTGTTATATGTAACAGGGAAGCTCAGCACAAAATGGCTGAAACAAAAAAGGAGATTTACTGCCCTAGTCAGTTTGGCTCAGTGGGCTAAAGGGTCCCAGGTTCACTTCCAGCCAAGGGCATGTACTTCTGTTGCAGGCTCGATCCCCAGCCCTGGTTGAGGCGAGTGCGGGAGGCAACCAATTGATGTCTCTTTCCCACTCTCTCTGAAAAGCAATGGACAAAATATCCTTGGGTGAGGATTAAAGAATAATAATTTTGAAAAAAGATTTTGAAAAGGGGGGGGGATTTATTGGCTCAGTTAAGTTCAAGAGCAGTTTTCAGGTGTCATTTGATTCATAAACTTAATGATAGCATTAATTATGAGTTTCCATTATTGTCTTCTGCCTTTTGTGGTATTTGTCATTACTCTAGAACAGTGTTTCTCAACCTTTAATTTTTATTATTGTCCCCCAGTAGTCTTTCAAGACACTTTCTTAATGTCCCCCAAAGTTTTAATACCACAGATCTATTGTATATCTGTTTTGGTACTGTGTGCATTTCTGCTTTATACTTTAAAAAAGTAAGATTTTTTTCTCTCCCCAATTTTCACCCCCTTGGAGGTGATATCACCCCCATTGAGAATGCATGCTCTAGCAGTTTCATTTTTCATTTGACATAGTGCACTTTCTAGTATAATGACACAGAGAATCTATTTTGGTAG